GACCGCTCTTCATATTTGAGAAAAAAAGTTGATGGTGCCCACTTGCCACTAGGTCACGTGACCACAACCATTTTCATGCCAAATAGTAGTGAAAGAGGAACCGTTTTGCCTGAATTTGACCCGACGTCGCTAGCTTGTTCCTTTCAAAGGTTAAAAGGAGGGGGGGGAGGAGAACTTTTTACGTCCTCGCTGTATATTGATGTAGAATCTCGCTGTATATTGATGTAGAATCTTCTATTTTCGCTAGAGATGAGCATATTTAGACTCGAAACATGTACGTCGATCTGGTTTAAGTGATTTGGTCACTATTAAAAATCGTGGAGACGACTTTGTGTTTTGATCCCTGTACAGCGTGTCTCACTTCAAACATGGAGCCTCTATATCTCGGCTATGATCACTGTTTCAGTCAGACATTATTTGAGACAGTGCCGTGCGTTCTCATCGAAATGAAAAGAAGCTGATTCTAAATGAAATAAAATACTAATGACATGTATTAACCAAGGAAGGACAAAACTTTATCTGATTCAAATCAAATTAATTTTTTTATATACCTCTGTTGTAACAGTTTGTTTCTCACGTTCAGTTTTTTCATTTGTTTTGTATCTTAATTGTTCATTTTTACTATTCGTTCCTGTTTTTTATGTACTCAAATCTTATGAGTACTTATGAGTAAGTAAGAGAATTTAGGTATGTATATATGGGGGTTTGAAATGATGAGAAATAATATTTGTGAGGTCTGTTTTCCTGTAAAAAATTCTTGATAATAATATATGATTCCATTAAAAAAGTACCCTTTTCATTTTAATAAGAACGCACGGCATTGTCCCAAATGATGTTCGTCTCTGGAAAACTGATTATATTCAGTCATATCCATGGTTATTCATACCGGTCCACAACTATTATAATTGTTGAGATATAGAAGGGTGGGGTGGCATTTAAAGTGAGACACGCTGTAGATATATAGCTACAAAGTGCATGGAAACCGTGGAAACACATTCTACCTCTAACATGATTACATTTCGTAATTATTTCGTTGTTTTAATTGAATTGTTTCATCACGAAACGTTTCGGAAATATTAAGAGAAGAATATAAAACATCTACAGAGGCATTTTTGGTCGCTGGTATAATATTGCTATCTAACTTCAGGACACCTTATAGATATTGGACTGATTGGATGGCGCTTAAAACATCCAAAGTCAATTGTTTATATGCCTCTATTTTAGATTCCGTATATTTGATAATAATTAATAAAAGAATCTAAATGTTTAGACACCGAATTCCCGCTGTCGGTTATAAAAAACGATTTCTAGGGTTATTTATGATTCATTTATTTTTCTTGTATAAATCGAGATAGTTTGAGAGTCTTCGTTGAGAATAACAAGTTATTTGAGAGGATTCAATGAATTAATATTCTCATACCAACTTTTTCAAGTAGGTATGTACCGTATTTCGGGATGAATTCGATCGCTTTTTTGAGGTTTTTTGGACTCCGCTACGCGTCGGGAGACAACACAACCTCAAGCTGAAATCTACTCCTTTTTTCCTTGCATAATAGACAACTATAGATTTCTCAAAGATTCTTCTACCCCTGAGAAAAAGTGTTTTTCTAATCTATTTTTTACGCCGGTGGGAGTAGAAGTTACTTTCTCTGGCAACGAAAGAGGGGCAGAAGTCTCGTATTATTCCCTAGGGAGATAATGTGACATAATTTCTTCTTAGGGAGTTTATAGAGACTTTACATTTTCCTCATAGCTCTTCGCTTTTTTTTCGGAACATCCTTCTCTGAAGCGAGTATAAGCATAGACTACAGAAGATAATCTATAAGCTGCATCATACAGATTTCCAGATCTCACTGGTATATCAATCACTGCAGAAGCAGTATCAATAGTTTCTTGGGGTTTTTCCTCGATTTCTTGTTCCATGACCAGTAACCATTTTCAAAGCTGTTTTCATAAATTTCAGTTCGATATTTGCTGTCACCATGGCTTGTTAACAAGTTTTATGTTGTCAAGATACGAATTCCACAAACTATACTACTATACTACTAAGATTTTTTCCAAGGTGCGAATCGCACCTTGGAAACAATCTTGCATTTCTGTCCCTTGATGTATAATGTTCTATTATTTTCCACTTGTCCATTACTGCTTCAAGGCATTATGGAGGGCATTATGAATCATAACGCCCACTAATTGCTTTCTCCTGTAGTTCATGAAATTATATACCAATTCTTGAAAGTATAATAATCCTAGAAATTTATATACGAGTCTGGATTTCTCCGAAAATGAATCAATCGAAGCCTTTTCTGCATTTTTTATGATATTCTTGAGTAAATTTGTATTCATTTCCATTATTTCTATCAGACTACACAAAGAATGCCGCAATGACATTCACTAAATAAAATGATGACGGCAATATTCAACAAACGTCAAAATATCAACAAATGCCATGCCCACCATGAGAAGGAAAATGAAAAGAAAACGCTAGGAGCAATGAACCGTATTTCAATATCGAATTTTCATTATAATGAGATAACTTTTTCGTGAAAAAGCAAAATTTTGTTGACACGCTCTCACAGATTTTTTTTTTCTAAATTTGATGATGATGATGAAGGATTGAGCCTTCGAAACATGCCCTTATGTCCATGACCGTCGGTCATTATTGAATTGTTTATGTGACTGTAAGTTCTTTTATTTCTGACAGTGACATTATAAGCTTATATCGTCATAGTTACGATATCTATTATGAGGGTCATAACTCCCTTGGGATGTTATAGATGCTATAATTCCCTCTAGCTAAAATTAAATAAGAAATGCATAGCAACAACCACGCAATAACGTAGCAATAAGGAATCTCCTATTCGCGGTAGTCAAGATCATCATCTGACGTTCTGATGACATTGAAACTATACGGAAAAACATCTCTAACTTCCAATCGGGAAGGTATCTAATGAATGAAATCAGTCAGAAATAAAATTATCTATGTATCACGGGAATTATAGAGCCTCAATAACCTCTGGCAATTGCTGTCCCTCGGGCCAGAGGCCCTCGGGACGCAAACTTTGCCATCGGTAATTAAGGCCCTCATAATTCCCTTAAAACATAAATAACTATTACCCCTCCTGATTTATATCACCTTCATTGTAAGTTATGGATCACCTACGTTGGTTAATACAATAATCATTATTAAAAAAATATTGTTTTGATTAAAATACATTTCTCATTGAATATAAGTGAATTGAATATTCCTCTAACGATGAAAAAAATAACTACGAGAGGAATTGAAATCTGCGTTTTTATGTATTTTTGTACAATGTTAATTCGGAGCGACCCTGCTATAAGTGAAAAATTTTGTTCAATCATCTCTGAAAAATGAACTTTTTCGAATATCGTAATAAAATTGATATTAGTTCTTGTCACCATATATATGATCATGTTCACAGATTTTGAAGTTGGTACAACCTCACATACCAAAATAACAATAGTAAGCCGTGGTGATTAAAAAATCAATCTTTTTTTTATGCTCATGGCTGACTAATCTTCACGAATGTATCCACTCGAATGAATTCTCAGGGCACACAAAAAAGTAATTGAATATCATTGCTGTATAAGAATGAAATTGTAAACCATTTTCGAGCGTTCGAAGTCATCCCAAATTATGGTAAATCATAATTCGATGAATTTGATTAGGATTGCAATTTTGGTGGAGGAGCTGGTTCTTATATGTAATCCACCTTGAAAACCACTTTGCGAATCTATCGTTATTCGTTTTCATCACCTTCAATATCATATATAATTTTATATCTATGCAGTTTTACCTGATTTTCTCATTGCAACTAGGTCAGGTTCTGAATTTTACGATAGTGCTCGCAGATTTATGGGAAATATAGCAAATATTTCAGCTATATGTTTGCTAGCTTTGGCTTTTGTCATAACAAGCTGTTACCGAAAAGATGTTTTGGACGAATTATGATTCAACTTGACACTATATCGACGTGATTTGAGATCTAATGCAGAATCTGGAGCAGAAAATAATATTTCGAGGTTTATCATACACTATTTGTGAATCATATGAATGAATAGAAAAATTATGACTTTGTATGATGGCTGATTCAGTTTTCAGCTTCAATGGGTCATGGGTAGACCTATATTCACAAAAATCAGACGAAAATTCCTATATGAATTGGGTATAAGTTGAGGAATTTCGTTTTAGCAATACCGGATGTTTAAGTTAATTTATTTTTCTCAATATATGGATACTTGAATCATTTATAGGAATATTAAAGTAGGACACTCTTTTCGATTCACATTCTTTAACAAGTTCAATGATCGAAAGTGTACTCTTTTTATTTCTTCAATTATTTCATTTTTTCGCTTAGTTATAGAGAACTTAGAAATAAAAATTGTGTGCCTGCCTGCGTAAAAAAACATCGAAGGATTTATTTCATACAGATAATACTAAAGTATTCAATATTAAACTATGGATATCATATGAAAATGATGAATTTCATATCGACCTCATTGAAAAAAATTGACCATTGTATAGAGATTCAAAATTCCTTTTCAACGAAGTATATCTTGATTCCTAGAACCATTTGAAAATTTTGAACAGGTGGATCTGTGGGGCCGTGGGTTGACAGGTGGTTGAAAATATTTACGAAAGGAAACTTGTCTAATGATTTTTCAAAATGTATTCCTGTTATGGAGATACAGATTTAATTCTTCAATAGCTTTTTCCATTTCATTTTATTATACTCTTCTTTCCACTTATAGAAACGAGAAGAGGAAACCCCTAATAATCCAGAGTAATGAATTTTTACTTTCTTATTATCAACAATAATGGAAGAGCAAATATTTTCCCAAATATGAAGTTTCTGGAATTAGTGAAGGACGGTTGAATATTTTCAGATATCCTCGTATATTCGTACATCGATCGAAAGAATAAAAATTTAGTTGGAATCAATGATTTTGATTTTTCTACAAAGTTTATTCTATGATCTAATATTTATCTTTATTTTCACGTCTAGCTCAACGCATATCTGTTGCCAAATGTGATATTTTTGTTTCCAAGTAGCGGCGGTCTTATGGTTTGTCGTCTCAGTTCTCACTAGTCTGGCTCTGGACTGGACTGGAGTGACCGCGCAAATTTAAAAATCCCGATTTCATACAAAATGGCGCCCAACATGAATATCCGACCATGGATTTTTTCGAAAGAAGCCCAAGAGTGACTGACCATCAGCAACGAACTCCCAGAGTGACATCATAAAAAAAGTTTTCTTGATAGTGAGGGACTCTCAAAAATAAACTTTGGACTATTTTCTTGTGGATGATGGTGTTGAAACTTGTGAATTTATATTTGTTACTTCGATTTTTTTCAAGTGGAGAGCAATTCGGTGATATTATAAAATCGTGATGTGAACACCAAGAAGATTGAGCAACTAAGATTTTTGAAAACCTACGCTACAAAGTAGTGCCAACTATTTTCAATTTTAGATCATTCCATGCACTGAAGCGGTATAAAATAATTGAAGAATAATAATATTCAAACTCAACGCCCGTTATTCAAGTGATGAGAGTTCGTTTCCATAAACAATACTTCAAATGATCTTTGAATTTCCTCAGCTTATAGTGAAAAATGGCTGACAAAAGTGTGAGGCGTAAACTCCAAGATAGAAGTGCAAGCACAGAATCCACAGAGTATTCGATCACGATGGGCAAATCGCTGAGAAGAAAAAGCAAAAAAGCGAAACCCAAAGAGAGATGGTTGCTAACCAGGAAAACATGGAGGTATATGACCGATGCCGGAAAAAAGCTTATACCAGATGGTGCCCAAAACCGACCAGAAGACATCCCCAAAATAGAAGCCTACTTCCAAGAAGTATGCAAAAAAGAACCGCGGTTCCTTTTGTGGCGGAAAAACTCCTACCCAGGAGCCATCGGCTTCAGAAAAAAAAGGAAGAACTCTAGGATAGGAGGCAGTTGCAGAAAAACCAGCTCAGCAGACGAAGCTAGCATAGGCAACCCAACTAAGCCTCAAAGACCCACCCATCTAGCTATAGAACCAACCACCATGGGCAAATTTGACCTCAAACGTATGAAAGAGGAATTTTTCAACGAGAAAAGCACCCCTGAAGGGTTTTCCAGCTACGACCTTAAAGCTTCACACCCAGACCAAGAGGAAACAGAGGAAAAACAACTCGTCAGCATGCTAGAAAAATACTTGACATTAGGCAAGTCCGACCCGAAAGTAGTTAATTCCACTGCAGACTTCAACTACCAGGATCTAGTGGACAAACTTCAAAGGCACCTGCACGTCTGCGGCAAAAACTACACTCCAGACTACACTGGCTACACCCCGTCCCAACACGTACACTTCGAAGGAGACCATGTGCAAAAATCCCTACTGGAGACCATGAGCAGGTACTATGGTCAATCCAGCAATCGCGACAAAATCGTCTCCGACCTTCTAACAGACAGAAAAGCCTTGGAAAAGCTGTATTTTGAGCTGCGTAAAACCAAGGGCTTCAGAGGCAGTCGAGGAGGTACGGGCTACACGACCTCCTACGCTTACGGCCCTCAGAGGAGCAACTACGAGCACGTGAGACACCCGAAGGGTAGTCCAAGTGCTACTTATCCACCTCCACTTATCGAAGTGCAGGGAGAAACCACAGTCGAGGTATCGCACCACAACTGGGCAACTCAGACTCTGCCGATACCAGAATCGGTCCTGCAGAAAGCTGAAGAGGAGTACAAGAAGGTCCTGGAAGAGAGGAACGGCGAGGAGGGTATAGCGAAAGAAGGAAAGTCAGTGAGGAGGAGAAGCAGCGTTGACCACGACGACGTATCGCAATCGGTTAGCGACACGATCAAGAGGTACTTGAGGATGGCTCGCAAGAAGAGTGTGGATGTAGAGAAAACTGACAGGTTCAAGCTAGGCTTCAAGAGCGTCAACTACGACAGAAACTTGCGCAACATCAAACCCAAGGGAGAAATAACGAAACCGGGAGACGACGACGGTTTGAACAAGGGCTGTCAGACTAATGAGAACTGGATAGTGACATACCGCGACTTGAAATTTGCCGATATGTACGACGTTTCGGACGTTGAGAGCAGGTTCTCCAGCTCGAGGAGTAGCATTGACGTGGGGGTGGCTGACGCATCGTCGCCACCTTCTGTCAAGGGTGGCCATTCGTTTTTGAGTCACCTGTTGCACGGCAAACAGGACAAAAAGTCTAGTTCTTCTTCTTCTGCTTCAGCGGTGACCGGCAGCGGGACGATGCAGAAGAGCAAGTCTTCTTCTAGCGTCATGCACCACGGCAGCAGGCTGATGGCGAAGAAGATCTTCAGATCGAGGTCGAAGAGTCAGACTAGGCCTGCGCAAGCGCCTTGCAATTGGACACCTCAGGTAAGACTGAGAGAATAAGGGATTACGAAAGTTTGGAGGGCATAATAAATCCAAGACTGTTGTATGGAATATCCATAATACATGTACTTCCCCAAGCAAAACGGTAGCCATTTTTCACACCAGTGAATAATTGCAGTGAATAACCATAATTCACTGGTCTAGAGTTCCTAGGATACGCGATATAACATAAGAGGACTTTTACACCAATGAATAATGGTTACTCGCCTCTTTTATTCACTGATGTGTAAAATGGCTATTGTTGTGCTTGAGGAAGTACGTGCACAAATAATTGATATAACAGGTATCTTTAATTTTCAGTTTTTTGAATGTCAAATGGGTTACCATGAAACAGTTGTTGAAAATAAACTCATATAACAAAAAAAAATAGTAGTCGTGGACAAAGTATAGTATTCTACTCGCATATAAGGAGGTATAATTCACTCAGGTTGAACATGGTACTCGCTACGCTCGTGACATAAACTTAACCTTCGTGAATAATAGCCCTCATTATATGCTTGTTGAATAATAAACTATTATCCACGACTGTTGTATGAAATATCCATGATGAATGTACTTTCCCAATCGAAACGGTAGCTTTTTTGCACACCAGTGAATAATAGCAGTGAATAACCATAATTCAGTGGTCCAGAGTTCCTAGGGTACGCGATATGACATATAAGGAACTTTAGACCAGTGAATAATGGTTATTCACCGCTATTATTCACTGGTGTGGAAAATAGCTATCGTTTTGCTTGAGGAAGTACAACAGTCGTGGACAAATGATTAATTTAACAAGTATCTTCAATTTTTGATTCTCTCAATGTCAAATGATCAAAAAGTTGTTAAAAAAAAATTATATATCAAAGACAATAGTAGTTGTGGAAGTATAGTGTTCTACTCGCATAAAATGATCTATTATGCACTCAGGTTAATTATGCCACTGGTTACGATCGTGATATAAACTTAACCTTCGTGATTACTATACCTCATTATATGCTTGTTGAATAATAAACTATTATAAACTAATAAAGATCAAAAAAATTTGAGAAATCGTATAATGAGAAACTTTAAGAAATTGCAGTGCATATAGGGTGTACGGTGTGACAATGAACAGCGCTCAATCTTTCTTCAACTGATGACATTATGAAAATTTGGCGAAATACTTCAATTTAGGTACGGGGTGTTCTTGAAATGAGTACATATATATTCAGCACATCGATATAATACAATCTAACTAAACTAATATTCCTATGATATCAGATTTTTTCTAATTATTCCAATTATCAAGAAATTTCTTCCTGAAAATTGAACAAAAATCCGGCAAAAAATCAATGAAGTACGCCATTTTAAAACAATTTCAATGATTGAACTCCGCTTGACTGTGCCTTCTGCACGGAAATTTCAACAGAGGTGATGTAGAACTTTGGGTGAAAAAAGGGGTCTAACCTCAAATTTCATTCTGATCCCTATATTTTTATTATTGGTGCTTTCTGATGGTATACAGGGTATTTCACTTCTACTCCGCATGCCAATATCTCGACAACGAATAGAAATATTTAATTTCTGTAAAAGGTTGTCAATGGATGGGGTCAAGTTGATTTTTTTTCGAGTTCAAAAAATTCATCGGCTAATTTCTAAGTCAATGCAATCTATTTTGTCGCAATATTTATGAAATTCTTTATTTCATGCCATTTGATGAAATTAGTATGAATTCTGGCCGTTGTTCAGCTCTCCTCAGAAAATCAATTGAGAACGTTATATTGTTATGAATAATTCCCCGAGAACAATTTCAGAAGAATATTCACTGATTATATTGGAATATTCATGATTTTTGAATGAACATATGCATGGTGTTCTATCAATGAAGTAGAAGAATTTATGAGGGAATTCATGCATTGCAAGAAAAGCAGTCGAAGGGACTGTTTTGGAAACACCCGTTATATTCCAGATGAAGGGTGTTCAAGATTGAAAGGATCTGTTTTTTATTAACTTCTAAGGAAACCCTTGATGCCATTGTTTTTTTTCAGTCGAATATCATTTTCATTTGGAGGAAATTCAAGTACCTAATATTTTTCCCGACTTTTCTCGTAAGTTTATTGATATTTTCGAGAGGAAACCAATTTTCTTTAAACCCTCTAACTAAGTGAAAAAGAAAATTGAAACTAACAATGAAGTATCTTGGGCACTTTCTGGGAGAAGAAGGGTCTTCGGAAAAATCAATCAAAGATTCACTATTTCTTTTTTATTAACTTGTATGAGGGGTTGAATCAATGGAACTGAGTATTGTAAGAAACTGTGTTATCTGAGATATAAAACGATTTCATAAGCAAATCATAAAGATTCAAATTACTTATTGAGCTATTCGAAAAAATAATTCTTGAAGAAAAAATTGATTTCTCTAGAATGCTATCAATAGAAGTAAATGCCAATTTCATATCATTTTTGTGTAAAGGTAATTGGCAGAATTTGTTGTGAATAATTCAAATATTGGAATAAACATAAGCCTGAACGTTTTCAAACAAACTGTCATAATTATTATTCTGGAATACACATTCGATTTTCTGTAGTCAAAAATGATTCACTGTTTTTCCGAGTGATTATTTTAGGATAATCTAAGCTGGACAAACGAATGACTGCTATTTTCTGCTATCAATATCTCATAAGAGTATCTAGCTTCTAGCCATTATTTGAAATTTATAGGGATCTAAATCAAAATGAAGCACTTAAAAGAGGAATTTTACAAAAAATAAACATTACGTCTGAAATAGTTACAAAGTAGATTTGGGATTCATATTTAGGCGCTGGTAGTACTGGGGTAAGGAAGCACTTGCCCCCCCTTAGAAAAATCATACGGCCAGTTCCACCTCTGAGTAGGTATTCCACATTTCCATAAATATCCTATTAATGAACTATTTTATATTTTTCAAGATTCACTTATTGCGATGAAAACTGTTTTACTTCTTTTCATGATATTCGAGAAAAAGGGAATTGGAGGAGATGTATCAAATTGATGCTTTTTCAGTAGATTATACACACCTTTTCCAAATTCCGATTTATTTTGATTTCTTTAATCTTCTCAAATTCCGATTCATTTTGTTTTATCTTTCCATATGAACCCATGTTCATGGCATTGAATCAATACTAACGAACCGTCTTTCCATTTGGCCAAAATAAACAGGATATACAAGGCATTCTAGATGCCAGAATTATACAAGGCATTCTAGATGCCAGAATTATATTTCTTGATGCAGGTTATCAAAAGTGATGATACATAGTTACATTGTTGAGGTCATTTTGATTGAAATAAATATATCGATTCGATTACTCATTTGAAAATCAAAATTTGATGTTGTTCTCAGATAATGAAACGGAAGTTCAAAAGATTTATCTTCTTTAGTGTGACATACTTCCAAATTTTATTATAATTACTATGATATATCGAGGAATCTATTCTATTCAAAAAAAAGTTGATGATGGTCACGAGCGCTTCCATTCATTTTGTTGATACTGCAATTGTAACAATGATGAGTTTTCAGTTCCATTGTATCTTCAGTAATATGAAGCGAAAAAACTCAAACATTTTGTTTTCCACATATACTTCAACATATCTACATGTAAACATCTCATAAAAATAAAATGAATCATTAAGATAATCACTTCACTGTTCAATGACAATTTTCCTGTACACCAAATATCAAGTTTTTTTATGAAACAATGTAAATGAAATAAAGTTGCTTGAATGTTTTAATTGGATAAATAATCATGTTTTCATGAGTTTTCAATCCGAAAAAATAAAACATTGAACACTTATTGAGTATCATCTGATCATCATTGGAGCCAAATATTATTCCACACGTTTGTTTGTACGAAATATAAGTACTTGGCAATCGTCACTTACTCTAGACTATGTATGATTCATTTGAAAGTGGCAAAATTGATCAAACTTGACCTCACGTCTGTCAGTATACTTGAAATAAAAATAAATTCGGTTTCTATTTCAAGCAATCTCCCAAAACAACTTTTTTATTTCTGTTCCTGAATTGTAAAAGTCAGATGACGTTGTATAATTTCTCAAACATATCACAATATGGTCTAATACAGGGTGTCCCATATTGAGCACTCAATACTTTGGTAGCCAAAAATAAGAGAAAAACTTTAAATGAACATGGGTCGAAAAAAAGGATCGTCAAATAGCTATATCCTCATGAAGATTATCCTCTGAAGTTGGTTTATCATTTTTGATTCTGAAATGACTCAAGAAAATAACTAGAGAAATTTTGTATGCATATTTCACTTTTCATGCTGAAGACAGGAAGATAAACTGAATTTGCAATTTTGTTGATTGTACTTTTACCCCTCACTTTTTCGTTACCAGATATTCTAACATTCTTGGTGAAATTGAAAATTATGAACTTCTCTCATAAAAATTATGAAGAAAGCACAGTTTTTGAGTGGAATTGATTGGAATTTGAATTTGCTTGCTATAAACCAATCCTAATCGTGCAAAAATATGTTTGATATGATCCATAATATTCCGGGTCAAAAATACAAAAATGGTCGTTCTCAAGGTCATCTGCCTCAAATTCACAATAATGAGATGAGTAAATATTTAGTTCATTCAAGAGGTCGTCTACTAGACCACGTGATCAGGCTCGAAGGACCAACAGACATTCACTCAAGACACCCATCAACACAATCAACTCAACTTTATTTTATGATCACATTAATTACACCTATCCACAAAAATGAAAAAATGACACGCAATATTCAATTCGAGAATACTTGCTGACAAAGAAGTGATGTCGATGAAATACACTAAAACGACAATGTTTGATTCACCCCTGAGAAAAAAACATTTTTCATATATGTTTTTGTATCCACACATGGAAAACACACCAACATTTTTTCATTCCATAGCCTTCAATTCCGGCGTTCCACTATAGGTAGACTATATAGGAACAATTTTGGCAACAACATTGTTCCTATACTTTACAAACCAATGATATTTTGGGAGTAACCGCACTTGTCTCATCCACAGCTTCCCATATGATAGTTCTCTCCTTACTGCATTATCTTCCGGAATTTCCATTCTTACCCAGGAAACTAAGAACTCACGACGAGGGTAGGTCAACGCTATCAATTACTGCCTGGAAAACCAATAAGATTCTTGTTGAATTTAACGCCACCAAAACTCAACTCTGTACTTTCTTTAGAAATGCGGAACTCCCATTTTCACAAAGTCCACTATACCGTGTGTCCCAAGTTATCGTATCTCGCTTATTTGACAAGATAATTGAAAAACTGCATTGAATGGCATTGAAGTACCTTTCCTAATGACATATTAATACATATTTTACATTCGACAGTTCTCTGGCAGCTACCTCCCACTTCTTATTTTCAAACGGCACCCCCTGTATATTGTCATTGATAATTGCTTGTAATCCTATAAGGAATACAATGATAGAAAAAAAATCAATACCTCTTTACCGCCTCGCTCTATCTTTACCAGCAGATACGCACGTTGCTCTCCGAACATTATAAGGATTCCATTTCGTGCTCTCCAAGAGATTGAAAGAAGATGTAATCATCTAGAGCTGTTTCGGATATTAGTTCACACAATTCATTGTACGAGTATTGGACGATTCATTGTACGACTCTTAGCGAGATAATTATTTCGTGTTTGGTTGGTGGTGAAACGGTGTAATGTAATATCAGATATCGTACAAAATCTAATTATTCTCATTCCTGGCCTATATTTATTCCCAAAAAATATCGAAGGCTACGTTGTTTTCGTTATAATTCAGATCACGAGCATTTGTTGATATTGTAGAATAAACGAAAATCCCTTTTTTATGAAAATAATCTCAGGCGTAAATGTACTATACAGCAAGGGCAGGGGGAAGGGAGGGGGGTCACGGCCTTCAATAACACAATATTTTACACAATGATTAAAAAATAGGAACATCGTTGTAGGAAAGGTAGAAAAAAATACTTTTTCACGATTATTTCCAAACGACGGGCAAAATTATAATGTGATTTTCTATGAATATGTTTTGGAAGCTGATACACCACATGCATTTATTTTTATATCTGACTCTCATAGAGGGCGCTGGTTACACGGTTCGCACTGAGTATAGTTTCAAGTATAACTTTTTTGAGTTAAGATTTTATAGTTCAACTTTCATGTGAACATCATTAAAGTTCACACCAAGAAGTTACTCTTGGTAAAACTCGGTACTGAAGATGTGTACGATATTCGCATTTTGATTTGAAAACGATTAATGTATATCTGATACTGGTATGAATTAATTATTATCAAATACATTTACCTATTTATCCAGAACCAAAAACAATAAAATTATTTTAATCTCGATTCTGATGCTGAAGTTATTGATTATACAAAGAATCACGAGCCGAAAATTGATATAAATTGATTTCACTATAAAAACATCACTCAATTATAATAACTATAATAACTAAAATGGATTTCCAGAATTTCGTCCTATTAGGAGATTTCGAAATACAAATTGAAAAATCGAGAAACTGAGGGAATCATAATGTCTAGTCATAGTTTTTTCGAGAGTTAGCCATCAGGCATATTTGATTTTTCAAAATGGAGATATATATGACAATAATCAGCTCTTCAATGATGAAATAATACCTACTTCATACTCACGACTATAGCTTGTAATATCGCTTGGTATAAAACAGATACCTATTCATAGTTTGAAATTTCTATGAAACATGAAACAGACTTTTATCTCAAATATCTTATCAGTTTATTGATCCAAGCGCAGAAAAATGCTCCTACGCTTTCAATTCTTTCCGTTATTTTTTTCTAATGAAAACAAATCATCGAATTCTTCAGTTTGTGCCACTAGAAAAAATATTAGCTGTAGATAGATGCCGTCGATATGGCCAGAAATAAACGAGTCTGGATATGATATATCTAGAGCTTGATATATAATTTGACTGGATAATAAATAACACAATATTCCGAGAAAAAAATTGGAAATTGAATGAAATACGTTAAAGTTTTCACTGATAATACCACTGGAGCTTCAATTATTAATGGAAATATTATAAAAAAATTAGGATATGATAATAAGGCAGCTGTTGGTAGTTCAAAGCATTGTTCATGACTAACTTTATTCTGGTTTATTCCACCAACGTTGGTGGAAATATTTCATATATTTTGTTATGAAGAACTCGAAGCAGTCTGTATCGTATTAATAAAATTCACATCCATAATATTGTTACGTTGAATAAAACACAATTACTTAACTTTAATTACCCACTACACTGAAGTTGGTAGGAATATATTTTCTCAAAAGACACTTGAAGTTCCAGCTAGTATCAATGAAAATTTGATCAAGTAATATCATAAGTATGAATAAAACACGACTTTAGTTGAATGAAATAATAAAAAAATAAGTCGATAGTAGCAGTTTTTCACAAATTTATATAGCTAAGATTGGTATAGAAAAAATATATTCCTTTACCAACGAACTCATCAACTTATAGAATGAATTCAATCTGTCGTTAAATGTAATGTAATTTTAGCCATAAACGTCAAACAATTTCCAGTGTAATTTTTGGAAATTTGTTCAGTTGCTATGGTAACTTCACAAAATACAGGCTACAGGTGTGGAATTTTCACATATATCACCACAAGAGCTTATATTTGCTGTTTTTAATTGAAGCTAGAGTGGTATTCGGTAAGCGAATACACACCGAAATTTAGTTAAGAATATACTAGGATCAGATTACGCTAAATAAATTACAAAATACCGGCAAATGTCAGTAAGGCAGGTGGTAGCTCAAGTCACATTAATTTTGACTAACTTTATTCCACTAAAGTTGGTGGAAATATATTTGTTACAAGTAACTTGAAGCAGTATTGATAGAATTTGAATCCATAACATTGTAAGGTTGACTAAAACACAATTGAATTATTTCAGTTACACAAAATAATAGAAAATAAGTCGATAGTAGGTCAAATTCTCAGTTTTTCACAAATTCAGTCTACTAATGATGGTATAGAAATATATTTTCTCACAAGAAACTAGCGAAGTACGATTTAGTATCAAGAGTGTATAATCTCTGGTATCAATGAAATTAGCACGAGTAATATTATTGTGTTAAATCAAATATGATTGCGATAAAAAATTCCGATTTCTCAGTTTTTCACAAATTCATTTAGCTACAGTTGGTAGAAATATATTCTCCTACAAGGAACTCAACAACTTATAGAATTAATTCGAGAGAATCTGAAGTTAAATGTAAATGTCATTCCACCTATAAAGGTCAAACAATTTCTAGTGTAATTTCATGCTCCTTCCCCCAATAAGGGGGAGAAAAAATTTCTATACGGGACTTCAATTGGTCGTAAATGTTTGGTGTTCATGACATTCTCATAAGAATTATTTCCTGATCAATGGTATTTTCCAGGGTAACTGCATCTGGAATAACATCACTGGAAGACAAGTGATACTGGGTGATACGTCTATACTACATTTGAGCGAAATAGAAAGGAAAGTTTTGCAGAAAGTGGCCATTGCTAAACTTCAAGCTCTCAACCTTGGAGTTAACGTCAAAGTTCCTAGTGGTGAGTAGAAACCTCATCGGAATCAAAATTATCATTCAATCGAATCTAAAATTGTAGTAGTAGTAGTAGTAGTAGTAGGAGTAGTAGGAGTAGAAACATTTATCATGAATCCTTGATGAGTTTTCTTTGATACAGCCAGTGTATTCAAATTTCTGTAAGAAGTTGAATGCACTGCACTGATGAATGCCAATAGCTCGAAACAGGTATGCAGGTGGTCAGGTACCTATTTAGAAGATAACAACTTTCAATTAGTATTCATTTACATGAATCGTTGATTAGATTTCGACGTCTATCATTGTCACTGGAATTGATTCTGAATTTCCCCTATTTGAAATTTCTCTATACAGGGTGTGAGAACCACGTCCCACTGCAGGAGAATATGAATCACATGGTACCCCATACCTACTATGAATAAATACCTATCACCAACAATTTTACTGTTTTTGAGATTTTTTTTTTAGTTTTTGTCTTCTCATTAGTTATTTCTGTAATGTCAACAGTGATGCCACGATGTTCTGAATATCCGAGATATATCTGTCGCTGAGCAACACAATTATTGAGTTAACAATGAAACAGAATTATGAGAAGATATTTAGAACAGAGTGGTATTTTGCAGGACTATTTCACGATGCATAAGAAGCAATTATTATGAATAAACAAGCCATTTATCCAAAGCGATTCATTCAGACATCTACAGCTTTAATTATTTTATGTCGAACTGACATAAAACTTCGTTGAAAACACCAATCAGAATTGGAAGAGCTAGTATTCTCGCGATGATACAACTTGTTTTTGGCTTGGAAAAATATTCTTGAATTATCATTTTATAACTTTCTCATTGAAAAAAAAATACCGTGATAATTTGGATTGGAGTTTTGGTAGTAGATTTTTTTTTCATGTTGTTTAGCCTAAGAGAAAAATGTTAGGCTACTACTACACATAACATTTGCCCAATTTCTGTATAAGTGTATAAGTTCATGTAAGATTTTACAACTCGTACTTATCTTGGAAATAAACTGTTTGGACCTTTATATGTATTCGCATCTGATTGCTCAGGACCTCACACTATTTTATGTGGATATCGAAATGGTGGATATATTTTTAATGACGTCATAAATTTATAAATTTGTGGGATCTCTGATTTTACTGAACTTTCATAAAGAAGTTTATATGAAAGGCTGGGTTTCTCCGCCTCTCTACAGGCCGAACTCATCTCATTCCAAACAATCAATTTACAACTAAATAAATATAACTTTGTATATTTTACAACTAGCTATATTTATATACTGATGATCGCTATTTCGAGAAAACGCTGTTTATATTTTTACTACGATTCATCGCACTTTTCTCTCTTGTTGCAGAAAACGCGGGATGTGGTGTCACAAAACCGAAAAGAAGGCCGTATCTGCTCAAGAGAAAAGCCCTTACCACCGGGATTTTTGATGCGAGCAGAAAAGATGCTGCTGAAAAAGATAAAGGTATCTCAATCTATCATATATGTATCTAAATTATACCGGGTGGCCAATAGAAAACGTTCCACTCAAATTTGCCCCGTTATTGTGATGCATCAATGAAAAAATGTTCGGGCAGGTCATCAACTTTCGATTTTCAAATGGAACACCCTGTATTTCATTCCATAATCGGATAGTGATTAGCGAAGATCCCTGATATAAATTGGTGGAAAAAACAATACGACACGAAAGTCGTTCATTTTAATACCAAAATTAGCTCTTGAATTTACGTTTCTATCCAGAGATTCACGGCTTGACTTGATATTCAAGCTACTTGACTTGACTTGACTTGAAATCAAGTCAAGTGAAAGTTTTTTAATGTCAAGTCAAGTCAAGTAATTATTTATCAAGTACTTGAAAAATCAAGTAGTTCTATCAAGCTACTTGATTTTCAGCAGTTTCATTGTGTATCTATACAGCGTGACTCACGGTCGATGTTATAGGTTAGACGTTTATGGAGAACGCGACGCGGGATTTTTCTGAAAATTTCGCATACACAAAAAATTCCTGAAGTTGAAAAATCTCGATTTTTCGCACTTTATATCTCCATAATCTTTTCCGCTATACCCCGAGTGTGATGTATCGATGAAATCAACTCTTCAAGGAGAATCTGAAAATGCAATAAAATACAGGGTGTTCAATTCGAAATAACAAAGTGGTTCCTACTTTTCTAGAAGCGGCAACGTAGTGATATTGAAAATATATAAGATCGATAGTACCGGTGATGAAATGTGAGATGCGAAATTTTCAGAAAAATCCTGCGTCGCGTTCCTATGATAAACGTGAACGTCTAACCTACCATCGACCGGTAGTCACCCTGTATATAACTGATGAAATGAAAATGGCTAAAGGCTAAGAATTGAGATCCTCATATCTCACTGCTAAAAGGAGACATGAGGATTTGGTTATGGAAGCAAAAAAGCAATACTATCAAACAAAAATATTCAGCTCTAATAACGTGAATAAGGCTTGCTGGAGAGTAGTCTCCGAGATTTCCGGTAAACATAAGAAAAATCATAATATAGCATTGAAAGCTGAAAACGATATAATAGTGAATCCATCAATTGTGAGTGATATGTTCAATAATCATTTCCAACAAGCACCTATAAAAATATTGGACAAGATAAATAAACTAAATATTGAGGATAACAAAACCAAACTTGATTCTAAAATCGAAGAAAACCAATTTTTACTTCAACCATATACCGAAGTTGAACTCTATAATGTTCTTGTGAAGAAACTCAAAAATACTACCTCTTCTGGTGCAGATGAAATCCCTAATTTTCTAGTCAAAAAGGTTCTTGTATATATTGTCAAGCCTATCACCTATTTAGTCAATTTGTCGTTTTGTTACGGAACTTTTCCAGACAACCTGAAACTTGGAAAAATAATCCCGATACACAAAAAGGGGGAAACACATAATATCGAGAACTATAGACCTGTGACTATCCCTATGACTTTCTCAAAAATCCTAGAATATGCCTATTTAGAGCGTCTACTTGCCTATCTTAGTAAAAATGACAAAATTTCTGAAAACCAGCACGGATTTCAAGAAAATAAAAGTACAATTACTGCCATTCATTCATTTTATGACAAAATCGTCAGCTTGATCAACACGGGCGAATGCCCTGTGGGGATTTTCTGTGATTTGACCAGGGCATTCGACTGTGTTGATCATACTATACTCATTAATAAATTACGAAAATTTGGTATTGAAGGTTCAGCGCTCAATTGGATTCAAACATTCTTATGCAATAGAAAGCAGTTTGTGAGTATTACAAATACAAATGAGATGAATTTTCGTCAAAACATCACATCTTCTTCACTTGATACTGCCGTAGGTGTACCACAGGGGTCTATAATGGGTCCAATATTATTCCTTCTATATGTTAACGATGTAGAAACTTCCTCTGAAAACGTGTCATTCACTCTTTTCGCAGACGACACTTCTTTGATAATATCTCATAAATCTGATGAAACTTTAGAATATTATTGTAATAATACACTCCTGGATATAAACAATTGGTTTTGCAAAAATTCCCTTTATATGAATAATGAGAAGACTCAATATATCAGGTTCCGCAGTAGTCACAAAACATGCACGACATTGAATATTAAATATGAAAATGAAAATTTATCCGAACAATCTTCTGTTAAATTTCTTGGTTTGAACTTGGACAATACTTTGAATTGGAAAATTCATTGTGATAGCTTGACTCGAACCTTATCTTCGCAAAATTTTCTTATGAGGAATCTGCGAGAAATTTTAACTCGTCAACAATTACTGATGGTATATTACGGCCAAGTCGAATCGCGATTACGCTACGGTATTTGCTTTTGGGGTTGGTCAGCTCACTCGGCTGAGGTATTTATGGCTCAGAAAAAAATTATTAGAACAATGGTCTTCAAATCACGTACTGATAGCTGTAAAACTATTTTTGAAGAATTGAAAGTTTTAACACTTGCATGTCTGTATATTTTTGAAATGTGTGTTTATGTTCATAACAACAAAAGTTTTGTGAAAAATTCTCAAGTTCATAATTTTAACACTAGATCAAAAGATAACCTACACCTGCCTATTACTACAAAAACGCTCACATTCAAATCTCCAAACAACATGGGCCCAATGCTTTATAACAAAATCCCACAAAACATCAAATGTATTTCCTCGACCAAACAATTCAAAATAAAATTAAAAGAATATCTTTTGCTGAAATCTCACTATTCCGTCCATGATTTTTTGTGAACTGATTTTTAATCATTACTTTACTATACTCACTTGTGATACTAGATTTAAGATAGATTATAAGTTTATATTGTGACGATTCCTATACAATGTAATATTGTCTGAAAGGAAAATAAAGATTAAGTAAGTAAGTAAGTAAGTAAGGTTTGTTAATCTGTGGTAAAATTGACTGCGCGCTCGGATCTCGGGGAACCCCCGTATTTTGTCTAAGCGTGAGCGAGCTTGCAGAAATATACGCCGTGCGACTCGTTCGTATCAAGATCAAGTATTATCAAGTAGCTTGATTTCAAGTCAAGTAATACATATCTCAAATTCAAGTCAAGTCAAGTACGTAATTTGCCACGAGCTTGATTTTCAAGTCAAGTCAAGTAGTTTGTTGAAATAGCAAGCTACTTGACTTGATGAATCTCTGTTTCTATCAGGAATTTTGCTAGGCAACACTTTTAGTTCCTGAACTTCAGCTCCTGGGAACTAAAGAGGATGTAGTGGGTCATCAAGAATAAACAACATTGTAATGGTTGGTTATTTGGGCTGAGCCGCACATGATTTCAGCAGATTTGGCATTTTTATTTTGATCAGGAAAGCCTTCAAGATTCACATACTTACTTGATCTGTATTTCATTCATTCTCGGGATCTGATTGATTGGATAACCTGTTTCTGAATGATCACGGCCAGCAATACTTTCTTGTCTCACACAACGATATTGTTTACCTCAATTTGATTTCCGAGCCAAACACAGTGAAATATGGAGAGAAATAAATGATTAACCTAAAATTTTTTACTTCTTTTTCTTATACCTGGCACTGGCGCGGTATATTGCTATTAGGGCAGACACCTGATCCGAATGAATTCATCGATTCATCGATTCAATTGATTTCACAAATTAACCTTCCATCGTTTATGCCACTGAAAAATTCATAATTTCTGAAGCACGTGCCAATATCTTTCACACAAAGAAGGTCCTCCAGCTTCAATGTGCTAAAGTAAACAATTTTCGAGAAAAAAATATACAAAATCCTGGTATCTGTGAAAATCGACTAAAAATCTAAGTTTCCACTGGAAATAAATCATTTTAGAACTGTAACATGAAATTTTCAATTGAATTTCAGGTTGTTGAATGCTTTTTTTCAATTTCTTCAGTTTATTAAGTGTTGTAAGGTGCGTGTCTGATCAAACTGGACATTTTTTTGACGCCCTGTATCTTGAAAACGAAAGCCCGAGGTAGAATTTTGAAAAAAAGTGCCTTTTTAAATGAGGATTCAGTTTTTCATTGTGAGACTTATTTGTTCATACCCTGTATAGATAGCAACAAAGATAAAGCTCCGGCTTGATACTGTGAAGGTCCGATGATCGAATCCTGCCACGATGACTTTTTTCTTAAAGTTTTTTTCAATGGAATTGATATATCATAAGAAGTTACTTGTAGTAACTCAAATCTGGAAAAATAATATGAATATATAATTCTTTTCTTCTCCGAGTAAATATATTCTAACTATAGTGATTATTTAACATGTTTCATTCAAGAACATTTCCACATTTTATGAAACATCATCTATTCGAATTGAAGAAATATCTGCATTGTCTATCAAATGATTCGATGGTTTCAATCAAATAATAGTTTTTTTCTACTCACATAACTGAAATGGCACTTAGCGTACGGATATGTGTGAATGATCGATTAATCACAGATTAACGATCTGTGATTTATTCAAAATATCAAACACGTTACCATGGCAACACAGTTTCTTGAACATACTACCATGGCAACAGAATTTTTTAAACACACCTTCAGACGTTCGAGTCCTGTCTGGACAATTAATTGTAGGAACTGTCAGCTATATTTTACGAATTTTATTGCAATCAGATTTATTCAAGCAATTTCTGTTCGTATCTGAATTCTTCATTAAAGTTAGTAAACAAGCCATTTCAATAGTAATTCATCTTATCCTATGGACTGGACGCACATCTACAATCAATATAACTTATACGTGTGTCGTTGGTTGCATGTAGTTGCATATCATTATGTATTATGTTCCCAATTCCCATTGCCTTCGAATTATTTTGTAGGCTAGCAGATAGGTTATAATCTTATTTTCGGAATTATGAGATCTTGTCGAAGAGAGGAATTATGAGTTCGTAGAAAAAGTATGGTATTTAACGCGTTTATGAACTCTTTTATACACTCGTCACTAAAATGACGTTGATAACACTTTTCGCCAT